AACCAGTCTAAATGATAACGTTTTTCAGTAAATGTTTCATTGTTTTGTAAACAGTATGCAATATGAAGACATTTTATGATGTGGTGTTCGTGTTATTACAAAACAGATTGGTTCTGCCATCATTGTTGATGTCATCAAGTTTGATCCTGTCTCAATGGAAGTCATAGTAAGAGTAAAAGAACGGTATGTAATAAGTGTTGTTGTGTATCAGAACTAATCCAGGCAGAGCCTTACCATATACAATATCTTTTCTTCCTCACCCTGGGATTATTAATATCTTGTTGACATTCTTTTTGCCTTCTCCTCAGAGGATTGGTGAAGTTGTGGAGTGCTTTAACTTTATTGAGTTATTATCGGGATAGAAAGTGTGCAATTAAAGTGATTCAGGTATAGAGACTATGTTATTCACTAATTAAAATGAATAATGGCTGAACGAGTGCCGTGACCCATTATCCTCCAATGCTACAAGTATGTTTTAACAAAAACCGGCTTTTGTAATTCGATGTAATATCCATATTATGGTCTCGAGGCTCAATCATGAGCCTCTAAGTGTCCTGTGAAGCGTGGCGGAGATCCTCCGTATAAACGCTCGCAGCTTAGCCCAATTTTCATGACACGTATATTAAAACTGACTCTAAAAACTATTTAGGAAGTTAATCTCGAACCTTGTTCGCAGTAGCATTCAGGGAGCTGAGATCCCGGCGCCGGGTTAGAAAGTAACAGACTGAACGTTATGTGTGGTACAGTCTGAGGCTCTTTTGCCGAAAATATATAATTTGAACTAAAATGTTTGCATTTTAGGTGTCGCCTCATTTACTGAGCCTTGCAGTGGACAGTAGACAATGGAAGACGAAAGAAAAAGAGAGCTCTGTAGCCAGCTGACAACAGATCCAACTTGGGATTTGGCACTGACATGCTTAAAACGAATTTGGCAAGGCAACCCCTCCCCCCCGTCCCCCCAATCAAGAGTCCTCCCTTCAAAATCTTCCTAATTTCCTTGTGAATCTCGTCATTCTAGAGGGTCCGCAATAGGGTTTTCAGATCCCGCTTTCCCGCCCATTTTTTCCTGTTAATCCCGCCATTCCGCCTTTTTTTGCCTGGAAATCCCGATCCCGCACACTTTTCAAAGACGTTTCTCTGTTAATTATCAATTTGTTAATTAATAATTAATTTAATAATTAACATAAAAAGTTTTTAAAAATAGAGATCGCATAAAAGATCACAAAAGGATTCAATGGGTGGCAGATAAGCCAGCACAAATTAATGATCGTGACGTTTCTTTCTGCAAACCGTTTACTGTTTTGTTTTCTTTTGTCCACGTATCGGTGAAAGAGAAAGATTGTTCATCCCCATAGTCAAGAGATGGCCCGTAAACACTCTTGACAGTTTCTTTCAAAGCTTTCACCGTCTTCACTTCCCTTGAAATCTGGGCTCGGAACTTTTCTTTCCGAATGAAGGCATTCCCGCTCGCACATCCTTTTCGTAATATGTGACGACGTAATTTATAATGTCAGTGGCGGATCTACAGGAAGGGTCCNAAAAATAGATATCACATAAAAGATCACAAAAGGATTCAATGGGTGGCAGATAAGCCAGCACAAATTAATGATTGTAACGTTTCTTCCTGCAAACCGTTTACTATTTTGTTTTCTTTTGTCCACGTATCGGTGAAAGAGAAAAATTGTTCATTCTCATAGTCAAGAGATCGCCTGTAAACACTCTTGACAGTTTCTTTCAAAGCTTTCAGCGTCTTCACTTTCCTTGAAATCTGGGCTCGGAACTTTTCTTTCCGAATGAAGGCATTCCCGCTCGCACATCCTTTTCGTAATATGTGACGACGTAATTTATAATGTCAGTGGCGGATCTACAGGAAGGGTCCGGGCGCCCTCCCCGCCCCCACCTTATTTTTGGCGAAAAAAGAAGAAATGACTGAAGGAAGAAAAGCCGGCAGGGCAAGTTAAGCAAACTCCCCTCAAGGTCTGGATCCGCCACTGAATGTCACATACTTCATTCGGTAAATCACTATCACTGCCATCCGGTGTGGCCATCCTGGCCAAAACAAGCCAAGCGCTTTGGTAAAAGTCGAAAGACTATGAAAATTAGAAAGGATCGGGGAATCAAG